TACGTAGATGTACATAAGAAGTGAAATGTGAAAATACGTGTACGTGTAGGTAAAGGATAGGACGAGGGAAAAATTTGTATTATGGATACTCCATATAAGTCGGTATCTAGGCATTTATATATTCTTTTATTTAAAGATATTTGCATTTGTAACAAACTTTATTTAAAAGTATAATATATACTTATTGAAGAATAGAAAAAACAAAATGTTCAACAGTTAATAATTTGAATACATTTTATTTCATTTTGATATAACCTACTTAACAGTCGTTTTAAGTTGCTTCACATATGCATCGAAAGATTGTAAAATATTTTTATCGTAAAATATTTATATTTGATTTGTAAAGTATATGTATATATATTATATGATTATAGGACTATTCACCCTGTAAAATATCTACAGGACCATTTGGTGAGTAAACGTACATTTACAAACTTTTACTATTATTTATGAATTTGTTTGAAATTTCTAGGCACAAGATGTACGTCCCGATGGTAGACAATTTCTATCATTTCGTCCAATGAGTATAAATATTTCATCAATTACGCATGCTGATAGTTCTTCGATATTTAAAATTGGTAATACAACAGTTGTTTGTGGTATTAAAGCTGTAAGTGAATTCTGTAAGAATTTCCCATAATATTCATGTATCTATATATATGATAATGAATTGTTTACCTTGTTACAGGAATTAGCAATACCTAAAACAGAATCTCCTGATTGTGGATATATTGTACCAAACATTGAATTGTCTCCACTATGTTCACCAAAATTTCGACCTGGTCCACCAAGCGATCAAGCACAAATTATTTCAAAAACAATAGAAACTATTCTAAAGAATTCAGAAGCTATAGATTTAAAAGATCTATGTATTTGCAAAGGCAAATTAGTATGGGTAGTATATTGTGATCTATTATGTATTAATTACGATGGTTCTGTAATTGATGCTAGTATTGGCGCATTAACCGGAGCACTAAACACTTGTAAGTTTCATTAATCCATAATTTAATTGTACAATTAAATGTATTTTGTAAATTTCTGTTTATACAGTGAGACTACCTGAGACAAAATACAATGCGGCAACAGGAAATATTTCTGTACACCCCATGAATAAGATACAGTTTCCAGTTAAATCTTTGCCAGTTTCTGTAACATTTGCCATATTTGATAAGTGCGTTACAATATATTCATATATATACATATATAGATCAAATTATTTTTTAAAATTTATATGATGTATGAAATATTAAATATGTGTACTCATTATTTATTAATTTATACAGTCAATTACTAATTGCTGATCCTACTGATGAAGAGGAAAGTTTATGTTTAGGAAGATTAACAATAGTAATGGACGAAGAAAGAATTTGTTGTGTACATAAATCTGGTATGTTGTGTATTATTAACATTATTAATATTAAGAATATGCATCTATACAAGCTATATTCTTAATAGAATATTTTATCT